GACAGGGAGCGTGGAAGGAAGGCAGACTTGGTTGTGGTGGCCCCGGGAGGTAAACCTCCAGACCGTACGGAGCGCCTATTCGAGGCTCGACCGATTGATCTCCTGCGATCGCCATGCTGTGGAAAGCAATGGGTAGGTGACTGGTCTCTCCATCCCTCCATTCGTCTACGTCAACTAACATCCCCTCATCACCCATACCAGAAGATGGAGTTGTCACTGGTATTGACGAGGGTAGAGTGTCGCCAGTGATAAATGTATATACGGGTACCAGTGGATCGACGGAGATGTACAGCGCATCCAGGCCATACCTCGCTTTCACCTCTCCCTCGAACTCATACATGGAGAGTTTGAGTTCGGGGTCGATCGGAGTGATGTCGTCGAGGGAACGGAAGAACGACAAAGTGGGGAGGATCATCGTTCGCGTTGCGCTGACTGGTGAAGGATGGGACGTCGAGCCTCGCACTCGGCGCAGACGACGGAAGCCGAAATAACAAGCAGGAAACCAAGAAAAACTGAATACATTGGAGAATTCATTCACCGAGAAAGGAAAACTGTGGCTTAGTCGAAAGCGAGATGGCCAAAGAAAAGAACGGTATACTTACAGAATAAAGCAAGTTGTCAGACCAACACCCTCAGGTGGTAATAGGCGCTTGAGGGGGCAAGAAAGAAAGCTGAGGGTGAAGGGAGAGACTGAATGGGGGTTGAAGAAGAGAATGCAAGAGAGTGAGCGGTTTTAAACGCCCAACAGCAACGTTGCAAACCTGCACTTTACCATGATGGCCGATGGCAATGCACTTCTTTTCTAGTCTCGATTGGTCGCGAAGATTTCTCGAAACAAACTGACTTTTCTATCAGTACAGAACTGCCGAATACAAGTTGAATGCGGCCGACTTACAAGCAATAGACAAAGTCCTGCCACTGGCCATCATGCTGGAAGTGGTCACGATACCTCGGTCTGGAGGCGACCACCGGTCAAGAATGAGGTTGCTGGTGTGTGTGGGCGCTCTCAAGAAAAAGGGCCCAGACACAATCTTCCTCGCAGATGCGGCATGAGGTTATTGACCAGTTTACACCCACACGCCATCGAAGGTGATGGACGTCAGCAACGGCGAATAAAGCGCCCAAGACTTTGGTTCAAGTTTCAACGCGTATCGGAGCCCGATGTCCATGTCCGAGCCCATTACTGGGGCTCAACGATGGGTTTTGTCCTATAACGTTGTTCCCGGCCGAGTCTGGGGAAACAGTAGAATCCATAGACATCCGACGGTGTAATCCCGTCCTTCGGGCACGAGGCGCCCCATGAGACGGGGGCAAGGCCTTCAATCGATCATTATGGACCCGGACATGCCCAAAGAAAGGGAAAAGACACTCGGCCAGAAAGATGGAACAGTGTCAATGAGGCGCTCGCTTGGGTAAAGGGAATGTGATAGAGAATTGCGAGAAGGGCTGGAGTGCAAACATACTGGGGATGAGTCAGGAGACCCCCTGACCCCCGCAATCTGCATGATCTCGTCGGTGTTCAAGGTAATTATGCTGGACGTTTGACGGCCAAAATATTAATAATTTTCAGGACCGTCGCATAACAACCCTCCAGCCCTCGTCCACTAACAATGGAGTTCAAATCGATTAGGGTAATACAATGTGGCTTGAGAATCTTAAGTCGCCACACAAAGCGTGGCTGCGAGGCAAAATAACACTCCAGGGTGGGAGAATAGGGTCCAATGACGAGCGCCACTGAATCCTTGGCCAATTGACTTTGTTTGATCGGATACCGTTTGTGATGGTGTTCTTGTGGCAGCCACTACTCTGGAAACTCCGGACAGCCGTCTGACACCCGAGACTAGGGATAACCAGCGATGCCCCTTTGCGACGTGTTGTGCTACGCACATATCCACTATGCATTAGCGTCGAATAGGCTAAGTAGAGTAATGATATTGGGCGAAATATCCATGTATATTTAAAAGTCCAAATTGCATGCCTACTCCGATCATCGGCAAAACGTTACACCCCTGACTGCCTGATCAGGCCGGGAGAACCCATTACCTAAAAATCAATCACGACTCACGGCGAAACGAAATGTTACGTCTCGCCTCCGCACCATAAACACTGAGATATCTATAGTCATTCGTAAACAATACAAACTAAGTACTAAGTGTGAATTGCGACGAGGGATTAGTGCCTGATCCATTCTATAAGGCTGATCACCATGGTGTTCTCTGCTAGATTCATCCAGGTTATTCTAAAAACTGAAATCAACCATGAGTAAATATATGTGGCTTGAATATTTATACCAATTTTTGTCTGTGTCCGGTAAAAGTCGAAGCAATGGGAGAAGAATGTGCGCGAAATATGATTATTTTGAGGAATCTCCTCACCACTACTTCGCTAGCTCCTAGAATTACGCGGATTTCTCATGAGAGTCTTCTTGCTTACATATAGAGTAGTGTATATATTTCTCCGAGCGTACGTATTATTCAAAATATATAACAAATGTAATGTTGCTGGCCGGGCCGCACCCCAGCCTCACTTCCTTTTGATGATGCGGCTTATCCGCCCCGCGGCGGTAATCATCACAATAATCATCTAGTGTTACCGTGGCTCTGGCTTCTAGCTGGCTTAGCCACAAACCGAGTTGATCCCGACTCGGCTAGGCTTGAGATTGACTCGCGGCTTCAGCTTGTGGGTTCAGCAAGCCGCCTCAAGCCGACTAGCTGTCGGCTTAGCCGATACCGGGATGGTATGTCATTGTAGCTTGCAAATATGCTTCAAAACCCCAGCGGGTCATCACCCCGAACATTTCCATCGCGAAGACAGAGCACTGAAGCGCTCTTGCCAGCGACGATGAGGATGACGGCGACGGCGTTGCTAAGGTCGTCGGTATGTCGAGTTTACAACTCCTAAGGGCCGCGACATCCTGCAATTCTGGAACGGCAATTCTATCTTTCGCGATCGGCCCTTATTACGTATCAGTTGGGCCATGCGAGATTCCTCTTCGGGCAAAGTGATCATGACGGTTCTGCGGAATTGCATCAAGCTGGAGCAGATTGAGGTCAAAGTGCAAAAGCCGGCCTTGGACAAGGAGAGGTTGAATTTCACGGAGGTCGGGGGCCGTTGTAACACGGAAGATATCCTTGATGCCAGCGCACTGAGAACGCCGCACAGTCTACGATATTCCCGTGTCAGGTGACGTCCAAACGTCGGCCCACAGCGTATTCGGCTAGCCATTTAGCTCCGACTACGACTATGAGAATTGTAAGCTTCAAGCCGAGCCACGGTGACACTATATTCATCCTCGTGATGCTCACCCCCTCCTCGCTTCAGATAGGTTGACGGTAACACTGCATGTGCAGCAAGTGTGAATTCTTCCAAAGTATTTGTCAGTAAGGGCATACCCATGTCTTAAGAGTAGGTCAATTGTATCTGTTCATACACAAGCTGAAGATGAAAAAGATGGATTTGACCTCAATGACTAACAGAAGCCTAAATCTGGGCGAGCGAGAGCGACACATAGAGATGCGTATTAAAACAATTAGTAGCCAAAAACGGATCAGTGATCATCTAGCCCATGCCATGAGCGTATGAGTGATCAAGAGCCCAAGAGAGAGGGGGGGGGGGGGGGGGTTGATCCGCTGGACCAAACGGCCTTATATATATGCAGACACGAGTGAACGCGATTATTAGCTGGTGTCCAGTTCCCAGCCAACATTTGTTTCAGGGATAGCGCAGCGAAAAGCATCCCCAACAAAAATCTACTCACGCACCTTTTCAAACGTAAGAAACCCTCCACAGGTAAAGCAATCTTGTCTTTGGACTGCTCGAGAGAGGACAGGGTCATTTGATTCTCTGAAATCAACAGGACTTCTTAATCTCGTTGCTGTAGCCAGCCAATCCGGTTCAACTCACGCACCTCCACCCTCGAGAAAATGGCATCAGCTTTCATGCAGTGGGCCAAAAGCCCAGCAGCTAGGGATTACTTTTTCAGTAAGTTCTTAGCGTCTCTCCGGACCAATTCCAGCTTGGAATACTGATTGGTTGTCTTTTTCGACTAGGCACACATTTCTGGGGTCCCGTGTGTTGAATAATCCTCCATCCAACATCCCATCTCTTCTGACGTAATCTATTTGCCGACAGGTGGCCAACTGGGGGCTCCCTCTTGCAGCTCTTGCAGACATTACTGGAAAAGATGAAGAGATGATCTCGGGGACAATGACGCCGACATTGGCTTTATACTCGTAAGAGGACATCTATCTTCAAAGCGTATTTCCAGGCTTCCATACTCACCCAAATCTCCCTGCCGGATCTGATCTAATATCTATCTTATTGCGGATCCATCGACTCATTCGGTTGAAAACCACAGAACCGTTTTCATGCGCTTCGCTTGGCAAGTCCAGCCTAGGAACTATCTCCTCTTCGCATGTCACGCGACCAACGCCACCGCTCAGCTCGTCCAGGAGGGTCGGTTCATCAACTACTGGTACATGGGCGGTCGGGAGAAGCGCCTCGCAAACGATGGAGAGGGAGGAGGTATCGCAAAGGACAGCAAGTTGGTAGAAAAGGTGCAGGAGGTCGCGACGAAGCTCTCGCCATCTGCTGCCTGAACGCGATAGACGGGATGCGATGGCTATCATGTTGCCACTCTTCCGGGACTTACCATTCCCAGCTTATTTCCGATAATATGCATATTGAGCTGCTTGTGCGCGATTTGAGAACCACTTGTCTCTTGTGTGAGGTCGTAGTTGGTAGTCGCTATCGACGATCTCGAGGAGGGTCAAATCACCGATTGCGATTGTCAACGGATTCAAAGGGCCAGAATCGATACGAATATCACGGTGGATACATTCAGCAATTCCAGGCTCCATTGGCACTTACCCTACTGGCACTTCACAGCCAAGCCAGGATAACCGACCGTAGCTAGTACTCAGTTCAGTCACAATAAAGGATGGGGTATAATGATTGTACGCGAATCAAGACTTCGCCAACAACATGCACAGAACAAAAAGTATCCACTGGGGGGATTGAACCCTCGACCTTTAGCTAGCGATATCAGGGATAACCCTGAGTAAGCCGGAAACTAACGATCTACGACTGATCTAAGCGGACGTGGTTGAAAAGCTTAAGATTGAGGAGCATGTCGTACACAACAATTCAAATGAGAGAAGATGGCTACATGTATTAAAATCCCTCAAAACTTAGAAATCGAAAAACGAATATGAAACAGATAACAAATGCGTAAAACCATGGAATGAATAGGGAAGTGGATCACGCTCTGCCACCCACACCAGGCGTCGGCAAGCCGTTGCTCTGTTGAGTCAATACCTTGAGCCATCCGTCCCCAACATCCTTCCTGATCGCCTCCACCTGAGCACGGAACGCGTCCGCTTCAGATGCGAATTCAAGCTCTGCAGCAGGCTCACCGCCGAATATACTGACTTTCTTCGGACTCGACGATAACGATGGAGGTGCTGCAAATGCGGAGGCGGAAGGTTCGTAAACCGACGCACTGACGCGTGCCCGACGACGATTGCTGTTCGTAGCTTTCCGACTGGCGTTGCGACCGACCGAAGCCGACATAGTTGCAGATGAAGCACGTAAATGTCGGGTGGTGAGGCCGTTTGATGGAGGCGGAGGAAGTTCGGCGAGGGTATCCGAAGGTGATCGCTTGCCATCGTTGGAAGACTGTGGCGCGTCGTAGGATCCGGACCGATCCTTTGTCGCATCCGATGATCCCGCACTACGGTCAGACGAGACGAAGGGTGGAAGATCAACCAGGGCTTTTTCGGGGGAGGCTGAGAGCACGACGTGCGACTTTGTCGGGGAGCTTGATAAGAGGGCGTTAAATGACACAGGAGACCGCTCTCCACTGCTCCCTGGTACACTCGCAAGATGGTCTTCCTCTCCTAGATCAACGATCCGAGGCTGTTTACGCTTTCGGGGCTTGGGGTGTGCAATGGGACCGCTAGGCGACCCAGGGTGGCTGGGCAATGCGGAAGACGACGACGACGGGGAATGCTTGTTTGGGTTTGCGGGGTGCACCCCTGGAGACTGCAGTATACCTGCACTAGAACTGGTCCGAGAGTGTGGGGGTCGTGGTGAACTGAGCGGTGGCGGCGATGACACGACCGTCACCGGTTCTAGCTTCGGTGTCCCCGCAATCGCGTCAATCCTTCCCCTCTCTAAGAACCCTGGAACCGTATCGTCCAATCGTATCTCCTTTCCTTCCTTTGCAAAGAACGAAAAGCATTGCACCCTCCAATCTTCCTCTAATGACGTCAACGGATTCCCGCTGACCCACACCTCTGCGATACCAGGTAATGTGGCCATCCGTCCAACCTCCGCAGATTCGTCAAGTTGATTCTTCCGCAAGTCTATCCTCTGCAGTCCACCTAGGCGCTCCAATCCACAAAGTGAATCCAACCGGTTTGAGGAGAGGTTGAGCGAGTGGACCTGCCCGAGTGTCGTATAGATTCCGAGGACAGAATCGATCATATTGCCAGCGAGGTTGAGCGAAACCAGGCGATGAAGTTCGCCGAGTCCTGGAGGTACAGATACCAGGAGGTTGTTGGAGAGATCGAGGGAGATGAGAGTGGTAAGGTAGGGAACGACGGAAGTGGAGAAGAAGGTGAGACCATTGTCGGCAAGCGAGAGATACCGTAAGCATCTCCATTTTGATGGTGACAACTTTGAAGATGGTTGGTCGGATGGTAATGCAGATGGCTTGAGTACGGAGGGTTGAGGTGTCATCTCATCTTCCTCCTGGATAGCTGTCGTCCGTCTGAGACTATTCTGCCACGAAGGCGGCCGGGATCGCGCCTGAGCAGGTCGGTGGATGAAAGACTTCCTCCTAATTGGTGTTAAATCCCCCTTCTGCCTCCTTTCTACGTCGTCTGCGACCGCATCGATGATGAGGTCGCTCACATCCTCTATTCCGCTCCGGCTAATCGTCAAGTTCCGCAACGAATCAGCAAGACGGTCCCATCCAAGAATAGATCTCGGGTCGATATCCTGAAGTGTTAGAGTCTGAAGGTTCTTGAATGAGTCGAGCGGCAAGGCATTAGTTTCAGGAACGCGTGATGGCGGGTTGGTGATGCTGAGAGCAGGGAGCTTGGTGAATGCGCTGTACAGATATTTTATTTCCGCTTCGATAGTTTTAGGAGCGGACCACCATGACGAGGGCGAGAGTGAGAAGTGGGATACGAAGGAGGCTACGGAATAGGTGTCGGATGTGTCTTTCGGTAATAGCTGAGATGGACGAGGGTTCTCGATGGGGATGTCGAGGCTACCGACGTTTATGCCTACGCCTTCAATGCGCGTGAGGATATAGGATAGTTGGTGCTTTGTGAGTGCGAGAGTAGCTGGCTTGACAGGTGCGGTGGTCCATGAGAGAGGATTCAAGACATTCGACCGCGGTGTCTTGACCCCTGCTAGTTGAGATTCATTGGTCCGTATCCAGACGGCAGTGCGACGGATGTACTCGTCATCAAGCTAAACGAAGTGGAATGGGACTCAGAGATAGTGACTGGCCGTAGACAGAAAACTTACTGCTTCTGTCATAGACATTGGGGTTGGGGGAGGTCGAGAGGAGGTCGAGGAGTGTTTGCAGCTGTATGACGACGTTTCAATGTTAGCTAGCCTCGAGGCTCTAAAACATGTGTACCCCAAGTCTATAGTATCAATTCCTCATGCCCAGCCCCGCCTTTTGTGCCTTAACGGCCCGCCTCAGTGGGACACCACATCGACTTTACAGCCTCACTTTTGGGCAGCCATCAAGACACGCTGTGGAGGCACCTCTGCCTGAAGACTACTCTTCGATTTTCCTCAACACATGCATGAGTATTAAGGGTGTCGGCGAATGATATTCCATACTCAATGTCAGTGTGATCTTGGGTGTGCTTGACTTGGACATGGAAACGGCATGGAAAGTGGAACCCATCACAACACCTCCATTCGCCGCCCTTGCCTGTTACGCGCCAATTACAATGTTATAGGCCTGGATTCAAGTGGTTGGGAGCGGCTAGACCCCAAAGAAGAATGCCAAGATGTGATTGAGTGGTGTCATCAAATGTGTAACGGAACCCGAACGAATTGAAACACATAAACCCGCGACCCAATCCAAGATCACGAAGCAGAGCCCTTGTCGTCATCTGAAGACGGAGCCACCTGTCCTTTTGGTGCACAGACCATCGCCTCTGCCTCCTTAGACCAGGATCTTTCGATCACTCCCAATTGAGTATCAGGAAGGTCTTCCTCAATAACAGAACTACTCCGTTGTGAGTTAGGCACTGCCTTCCCTTTCAGAGAAGTAAGAGTGGATGATGGCTCGGCGTCGGCTGACATCGGTTTTTCGTCGGAAGTGGGTCGGAGAGTTGAAGGAACATAGACTGGTCGATGAGCGTTTGGCATCACAATCATCATCGACACAAGCAAACTGTTGTTTCTGTCGTCAGAAGTCCCTCCTTGCGAAGGCGAGTGAAGTGTAGCAGTTAGATCAGGGTTCGGTTGCTGCAACGACTCCGTATCCTGGCCATAGTCGTCCACTGAGGGCACGTCGTCAACCACAACGATGTGTGATCGGAAGAAGCGCGCCAACCCGGCAGCATGTCCGAATCGTAGTCGCTTCCGGCCCTGCGGACGAGGTGAAATAGTATTGGGCCGGTAGATAGTCGCGGAAACGGGCTAAATCACGTACGGATGAGATCAAGAGTATCACTTTCAGTGATTGATTTGAACACCCATGTGCGTGTGGGGACAGGGGACTCACTCTAAGGTCTTGCCACTTTTCAAGGTTATTTTGAGGAGCTTGAAGATCCCCCAGCGAGACCTGAGACATCACTGGTTTCTCCCCAAAGTCTCGCCGCGAGCCGCCCCATTCGGGCGGAAGCTGACCGTCTGGCATAAGCGCGCCTGAAGCGATGGCTTCTTCAACTCTTCTCCGGAGCTGTCTTCTGAGGAAATACGATCGAAACACGACCGCGCCGCTTATAACCAATACTAGCGGTTTCAAGTATGATCAGTCAAGCAACTAGAAGGACTCTGCAGACACTCACGGAGGATGAGAGTAATAAGAAACGTGAATAGATATAGACTAGTGCTGCCCAACCCTCCGCCGCCACCGCCTGTACTCGCGGCGCTGGATGTGGCAGTCATGACGCTACTCGTTGTACTGGTGGGACCAACGCCAACAACGCCAACACTACCGGTCTCCATCATTGGTAGGCTTGGAAAAACCCGAGTAGGGAGAGTCGACATAGATGGTGGGAGGTTCAGCGAAGTGCTAACTCGGGGGCCGGAGCAATCATATATCCTGACATAAGCGTGTCCATATTCCCTCTCCATTCCATGCTTATCCACCCAGGGAACAAAATCCCGCAAAAACTTAAACTCATGTCTTATAAATAGTGTACGCCCGTGAGATGAATCTCTTTCATCCATTGGTCGCCCATTTGAGTAGTAGTTTCAACGCTAGCAGAACGTGCCTGAGCGCTCTTGTCCACGCCTCTTCCTGACCAAACTGGTGCCGGATCGATGCCTCACCGATCTTGTCTTTGGACACCCTGCCATATAACCAGATGGAGGAGTTTCCCTCAGTTTTTAATCCCCGCGGCATGTTTTCCCGTGGAAGAAGGAAAGAAGACAGGGCCGACTCACTGTTGTGGGAATTCGACCTGAGGATCCTGGCTTTGCGCATATTCCATGAGTTGGCGAAGACAGTCTAGAAATGCGACCATAGCAGTGTCGAAGCGTCGATCATGAAACAAACGCCCTAAAGCAATGTCTCCGGAACCATATCTTTTCCGTTCTAGAATTTCAGCGGCGGAACGGCGGAGATGAGTCATACCATAACTCACAACTCATAAGACGAGTTATCTCCATTGATTCGCTCGATCCGGGAAAATGAGCCCATTGGTACCAGGCGCCAACTGAATCCAGAGTGATTGGTCAGCGTATGTATACTCGCCATTCCACACAGAATGAGCGCACTTGTCGAAGACATATCCGACCTTCCTCGCGATCGTGCTAAGGAGTAGCAAGGTCATACCCCACGCCGCATTAATCTCAGACCATTCCACCGTTATTCCAGGCACTCTCCCCAACCTCAGCCC